CGGGGTTCCCGGCTTCGATCAAGTTGTTGAAATCGATTTTCAAGTATTTCCCGAGTTCCTGTGCATCATGAGATGGCAAACAATACATTGAGTTCCTGATGCATCAACAGAAATCTACCATCTCCGAAATGACCACAGCAAATCATTCACCGTTCATCAATTGCTTGTCGCAATCTGCTGACTCTGAATGCAGGCTATTTCTTTCCTGGAGCCTACGATAGAATTTTCTGATTTTAGCAGATTTCGGATCGTTCAGAAGGTAGTGTTGAAACTATGCAAGTTGTGCAGCTGCTCACATTGAAAGATGCAAAAAGGCAAGTCACGTAATCACAAATTGCTCCTTTTATGACACCAATTTCTTGCCCTTCCGTCTTTGCAAATTAGGTTTTCAGATGAGTACTCAGGGCAAATTTAAACTACGGTCCTGCCAAGACAATCGCACTTCTAACCCATGCTCACGTCTGAATCAACTCAAGGTAAGGTTTGATGTGTGTAGTCAAGTGTGACATGGCTCTATGACTTTGCTGAGATCTTCGAATCAGACTACGCCCCATTTATTTTAATAAGGTCCAGATAGATTGAAAGTAGACCTTTGTAACTTCATGCCAGTGACTTCGAGAACGGTAGTGGTGTGAGTTAGACTAAGAACTCTTGTCTCCACCCAGAAACGTACATGTCCATCCGTTATTCGTAAATGCGAAGCATGGATTCTATGCCATTACTCACACAGTTCTGCTGACGAAATTTGGCGAATGTGAACATTTGCAAGAAATACACACCGGTTTGTTCGTAAAAATTAATCTAATATTCACTAATGCCACACCAATTTGTGACATTAATACTTTTACACGCATATGCAAGCAAGTGCCTCAACAACACGACACGTGACCTCAGACGGACATTCCGATTCAGTTTGTGTGCGGTTTGATGTGAACATTCACATAAATCCCAGCCTCCACAAGGCCTTCATCTGCACGAAGGCCTTTTAGGTGGAGAGGGTTTGACATTGGCATCAAAAGTGATGCCTCTGAGCTAGTAAACGTTAATTAACCAATTACCTCTCATCCAATCATGTAAGCCGAAACCATTGCGCGCCAGAACCTGTTTAGCGTAGAAAACAGAGTTCAGTCTTCAACACACACGAAAAGCACTGCAAATACAAACTTTTAGTTGCGAGTTACAACATTTAGTGACGTTGTGGCGTCGATGTTTACTGGAGGCGTTAAATTTATCCACCAGATATTGGGGCCTGTTTCTGTTTGGTAATAATTCACTCAACGTCGTCGGCGATGTAAGAGGCTCCTATTCTCAAGTGCCTTAAAGCAAATGCTGGTTGTTCCCAATTTTTTTCACTCAGCCCTTAGAACCTCGGACATAATTCCAATGGAGCTTGCTCAGAAGGTATTTCGATTTGCGTCATTGGCTCCTAGAGAGGGCTGGTTTTGTTTCAGTCCCATTTGTTACAGATGCATGCAGTAGTTAGCAAAGCACATTTCGAAAATTACAATAATGTCACGTGTGATACAGGTAGGTTTTTACCCTAAAATATGGCATATCAAAATACTTCAGGTACGAATTCTGACCCTCCCATTACAGGACTTGCTTGTGGTACTTCCTAGGAGCGTGTTCTCGATGCAGCGGATGGTCCATGCTGGGTAGTCAATAGTTGTCGTGAAACTTGTGCACCTTTCACTTATACGCTTATTAAGAAGAAACACCGACGTCATTCTACGTTCCATGCAACTCGTGTCCATTTCAGCGTCAAAGACCGCAAATTGTGCTTCAAGTGTAGACTTAAATCACCGTGTAGACAAAACACTGCAAATCAGCCGTTTCGGTCGTTGGCGGTAGCGTCTAGCGTGTGAGATTCTTTGTTGGGTAAGATAAGAGATTATCTGGCAAGGTGAATGCAGCATTTATGGGTTTTGTGTAAGCGGTGAATGGCTTAGAATAAGTCCTGAACTGAGTTGCATGAAATGGCGTTTGTCTGTGTTTCGCAGCCACTGATGGACTGCTCATCACCAATATCATCAAAATTGTGCTTTACTTGGCAGTGGGTGGTTGATTAATGTCATCGTCCACCAATAGTACATGCTGAAATATTTTGCGGTGGCACGGCAGTACTTGAGACCAAGCTTTGACATTTTTTTAGTCACTTTATTGTATGTGTTAATGGACTTTATCTACTTTCGAAAGTAACCTCTCTGTTGAACACGACGTGCTGAGGACGTAGTATAATGTGCAAAATAAATGGGTCGGTTACTAAACATATTTAATTGCCCATTGTCCCTTTAAGCTGTTTTAACAATGTTTTAGATCTAGACAGAGTTTCCTTTAGCCGGAAGCAGTTCTAAGAATCAAAATCTGCACGAAGAATCACGCCTTGATGATTCGACGAGGGACGTGTAAGGACATTCCTATAAAATTACGTTTGCTGTGTGTTGGCTTGTGAGGTGATCGCACAAATTGTTAATCCCTCCCCAGGTATCCGGTAGCAGTTCATTGAACTAAACAGTTAGTCCAGGTTTTCTCTGTCGCATGATTTGAGGAGAGATTCACAAATGAGAAAGGCTTCTCAATTTCGACAATAAAATCTAAATTTACGAAAAATGCCGCTTTGCTGTCGCTGTCAGGTGGTGCTTTGTACTTCACAGTGCTGCAGATAGGCACGAGTGGCAATTCCAATGTAGTGGAAAGCAACAACATTAGCTGGTGCATTCCATCGACCGTGAATTCGGTAACGAAAAGGAGTTAGGAATCACCAAGAACGCCACAATATTCACCTCAAAGTGTGGTAACCGAACAGCTTGCACACTGAGTCCATTGAACAAAGTCTCCTATTCAAAATTTATTGATGCTGGTTTGAAGTCGAATCTTGGAATAAGACTCAATATATCATTTTTCAGAACAACGTGAACGGTTATTTATAAGGTAGGTATCTCGATTTATGGCTCAGGGGATTTTCTTGAAACATCAGAGCACACGAGCGACACCTTAAATCATTTGATGCTTCCAACATTGAATTTTGTCTTATTTACGGATTTGTTACTGTTGTGGCAACTACTGAGCAATATTAAATTCAATTAAACCAATTATTGATGGCTATCAAAGCTATATCTCTTTTGAACTGCTTTAAAATGCATTTCGTCTTAATCCCATTTTTAGGGTATTTTCTTCCAAAATAACCCTCTTTCCCTGAATAATCTTCGAGGTTTCGTGGATACTTATTTTCGATTTTGAAATGATGTAAATCTGAATGGTTTCTGCGAATTAACTCTAACTTAAATAAAGGAGAATTTCGAAAACTGATAGACTTACCACAATACCGAATGACAATCGTAATAACTTAGATCCGAGTTTTACTGTTTCACCACTTTCGTTTGTGAAAATGCTAAGTTTTAGGTCCTTGATTTTGCAAACCTTTGAATTCGTCATTTTGGAAAATCGCGTGAACAGTATACTCAATGTCTCAGCCAGACAATATTCAGGGCTAAATATTGCGTCTTCAGCACTTTATTCCCAAAAAATGTTCTTTTAGGCCAATCTAGTTTAAAAGGCCAAAATCCCCCTCACTCGTAAATCAATGTTATTTATCAAACTTGTGAGATTGTACAATCTGTTAAGTATAATATTCCACTAAGCTTCTGTTTTAGAAGCCGTATGTCCTGTTTTCGAACTTAAATAGCGTTGTGAATGGCAAAGTTGAGATTTTAAGGTGGTCACCATTTTAGTTTTAATATCGAGGTTTTCTTAAGCAATATGAATTGAGAAATAGTTAGCCTTATAAATTCTTGAATAAAGCCTATCCCTTGACTGGTGTCACGATCAATTTATAATGTGGCTGAAGTAGAGAGCTTTTTGGGTTTGGTTTGGTTAGTGTCGGCTTAAGTGTAACGGTTGGAGTGTTTTGGCGACGATTTGAGAAAGGCTTCTTTAAAGCTATAAATAGACAATTGTCTGGGTGTGACAATGGTCTAAAATACCTCCGTCATCTTGCAAAGTGATTTCCTACCTTGTGATCAAGCACTTTTACAGTGCTGCTAAAGTAATGTCTTTTCTGTCAAATTGCTTTTTAATTCTGCTAATTCAGAAGCATCACTTGGTGTAATCAATGGTCCAGGGCTAAGTGCTTTTAATAAATTTTACTTGTTTGTGAATAATAAACAACTGAACAGACATTTCAGTGCCAGTAAAATTAAAACCACCCCATAGAAGGAATCAAGACTTTTACCTTGCAATAAACCGTATGTTAAAAGACAATTTAGGCGATTTTGACTGTAATATGGCTTAGATTTGCTTGTACCAATTTCATAACGGACACTAGATAAGAGAATACTTTGCACCCAAAGCACTTCGTTTTTTTCTCGTTTTAACCGTGCATCTTCCCTAAACATCCCACGAGTAGGGACTGATTGTACTACTCAAAAATATGTCATGGAAATGAGTGGACTGACAACGTTTAATGAAAAAGCCGGCTTTAGAAACTGACTAAGTGTTTAAAACATCTAAAAAGACTCAGTTGTCAACAGATTCTTCCATTAAACAACAACAACAACAACAACAACCACTACCACAAATCATCTCCAATTCCTTTAAACAGTTAGAACATATTTTTTTGCAGTGTTTACATATTTTTAGTGAAAAAAAGCAGATCACGCTAGTCAACGACGAACGTTGGAGTAGTTATTGCCCCTGTATCTGGAACCATGTTTATGATTACTATTTTGAAGTAGCCGATGACTGTCTCATATAATGCGACATTAATATACAAGGGAAATAAGTTTGAACTTTTGATTTGAATAGTTCAAAATTTAAAATGTCAATTCCTGTAACTATTTTAAGCGTTTCAAATACTCGACTCCACCAAAATAGAGCCTGATCTATAGTCTGACTCTCAGGAAAGCCACGGAAGGGAAACTCGCGTACCCTTGGTCTTAGTTTACTCGCAAAATTGTCTGATTTAGGAAATGGTTTTAATGTTCATCTTGCTTCGTACGTTAATCAAAAGAAAGTGTCATCGTATAATTTCGAATATGCTTGTGAAGAAAGCATCGAATGTTTTGAAACCACATTTATTTAATATGGTACTTAATTGAATGTCTAGAAGGCATTTATTTCCAACTATCTTTATTTCTATCAGACATCAATTTACTGAGAAAAATAATTGCCTCCACAGATATACCCCAGACTTTTCACAGCTGTGACCTTTTAATATCCTAAAAATATGTATGGAAGATACAGGTGCCATTTAACACGGCAAATGATGTAACTTCTAAAGAAATGATAGATTTGTTGCATTGGACTAATTTCAGATGGAGTTAATGTAAGCTCTGTCAGATCGATTGGCAAGCTTGAATTGATTGTAAACTGTATTAAACGGCCTGAACCGTTCTCTAGCCCTCTCATCTCTTCGTCAAACGAAGCAATATAGTGAGTCCTAAGTCAGCCCTCCGTTTGATTTATGCCATTTGTGATTTCTGACGGTTATTAGAAATTTCTTCGATTTTGCCAACGTCAAACGGCTAATTTGCTTTTGGTTGACTCAAAATCAATCTGAAAAGCTTTTTGTAACCCAAAAGAAAGTCATTTTAGACCTCGTTGGTTCAAAAGCATTAAACTCCCAGAATAATACAGTTTGATTAAAAAATTAGGTGTCACCATACACCTTAATTTATACATTATCAATATTGTCATAGTGATATGCTCTAACAATGAAAAAGCCAAAATAACATAATAAGAAAACCATCTGCATCTGACGTCGTAATTGTGATAAAGCAGCACACGAAGCGAACAGAAGTCCTCTTTTACATAGTTCTGGTGGTATTCTATTTCCCTGTCAATGTTTATCGTTTATAAAACGCAAAGCAATGACATAACGCAAATCTTGGGAACAGAGTACCATTTAAATGTAAAATCAGCCACCGAAGGAAGGTGGAATAAAGTAACAGATTCCTTCGACTGCAAAACCTAGTCTTACGCCGTCTATTTGACGGAATTTCAGCTTAATGTGGTTAGCGTTTGAGGTGGTACGAAGACATACCTTATCTCATTTGTATGAATTTGCAGGACAATTGAGCAGTAACACTAACACCGCGAAAGAAGACGCCGTATCTTTGTTTTTCGACCTAGGGCACTCTTTGCCTAAATGAGAGGCCTAAAATTTACCTTTTTTGAAACCAATCACAACTAATAACGTTTTAAATTTGCAATTTATCCACACCAAATCAAGCGCGTTACTTTGCCTTGAGTATTTTTAGCGAATTCCTACAGTGACGCTAAACTCCCATTACACCAAACATAACGCATTTGGAGATGTCGCAGACATCCAGATTTATATTTGAATGTGCACTGTTCCTTACATACTGACACCACTTCTAGTGGAGACGTGGTTATTTCTAGTTATCTTTGAAGAGTGTGGTGGAAAAGGTTCATATCCGAGTATAAAATTTTAAAAATCTGCACTGACTATATAACAGCCCATCACCTTAGGCCCTCTTTATGCTTGCATAGGTTGAACTTTAGAGTATTCCCATGTTTAAGAGGTAACAGGTAAATAATAAGGTCCACTGTACCCTCAATGCTCGGGAACAATGCGACAGATGACAGACACACAAGAGTAGGCTTAGTGAACGACAGAATTTTATGCCTCTAGTGGGAGTTCTAAATATAATTTAAATGTTGTACCTCTAGAATGATTCGTTATCCATCTGCATTCTGGGTATTTTTAACGTGCGTAGGCCCAGAGACATAAAGCCATGACTTGATAGAGTGAAAATGATTATTTTGCATAAAAATATTACTCTATTTAGGAATCTATTAGATGGTAAATTCTGTCATAATCTAGGCCAACGGTTCCTGTAACCGAATATTGCCAATTGAAAGTCTGCTCCTGATTGGATGGAATCATGAAAACGCTTGTACCACACACGTGCATTCCACCAGTCTGGAGCATTTGCTACCGCTTCAATCATATTTGCCACCTTAAAATCAAGGCAGAGCATCTCAGCACCGGCCTCAACGAGATGTATGTCTAGTGTAACCACAAGTTTGCCAACTTTTTAAAGTCCCGTCATCGCATAATATTTCTTATGCTTCATTCTAAGTCTATATAACAGCCAGTGGTGCAACAAATAATGGAAATCACTAAACACGGAGTTCGGAGTTATGGGCAAAACAGCTGGCACACCAAAAATAATGCTAGCGACAGATAACTCAAAAGTTAGCTTTCATAGTTAGCCAGTCCATAATCTGACTATTTAGGCATTAAGGGCACTGCGATCTGTGCCTGCTCTCTTTTAACTTACTGTGCCCCTCAACAAAGTCCCAAACACTGGCCAATTTCACGTTTAAGTTTTGGCCTAATATTATATGCTGGTAGTAATGGAGATCGCTTTGAAACGAAGACATTTTTATTAAAAATCGCGGTTTATTTTCTATTTCTACCAACTCAACAAAAAGATAGTTCCTTGTATTGCACAATTACGGGAAGGAGTCTTCTAATTATTCAATCGGAAAAGGGAATTTACAGCTTACATACACGCGAGCCGGTACAAAACTGCGTGACTAGTACATATTTTAACGATTTAATATACTCGTCAAATCGTATTTAATTAAGAGAATGGTAGATACTATGAAGGTTGTAGATCGGTCAAAGCCGAAAAAGCACCAAAAGCTTTGGATCATGATGCTAAGATTGCACTTTTATCATGTCTATTTTTGGATCAGCACACGCGCGTGATATGAAAATAACCATTGGGTGTGTGAGTGTATTGTGCTAAAGCAGTTCCTTTGTGAGTGGTGTTTTGGCATTCATTCAAATTAGAGGCTGTCCATTTAGTTAAAGCAGCTTTTAATTTTCCATCCAATTCGATGGTGGAAGCATGAACCACACCGTAACACCAAAACCTTCGTGTGCTTGTGCAGTTAGGGAACAACTTTCATGAAATCAGTCCGAAAAAAAACTTCGCAATACTCATGTGAAAACTTGAAGTATCCCCAAAAAATAGTGATCAAGACCGAACATCCGACTTAATGTGTCGACCACTTTTAGTAAAGCGGCCGGATTTAACAAAGCTAGCCCTATAATCAGAAAATCAGAGTTTAACGGCTAGTTCTTTTGATTTTCTGACAAACTTAAAAGGGATGAGCTGCAGTACAATCCATGTAAGATACAACCTGGAGTAACTTCACTTCTCTGGTCCCGTTCCTCTTCACGGACAACTAAACAACCTCAAATACAAAAAGGTTCCTTTAAAAAGTCACCGCAATTCCTTAGCTGTGCTCATTGTCGTTGTTGGATTTTATTTTAAGAGCTTTAACTTTCAGTTTAAGATAATTTGCTTGGCACGATGTTTTACATATCAGCAGTTCACATTACAGGAGTAACCAGACAGCAGAACAAAGAACGGTCAAGTAAAAAAATTAGTTTGTCTAGCAATTTCGCATGGACAGTCAATCGAAGAGCTTCGAAGAGAGTGTAATGCGGGAACAAAACAAAAAAGCAACTATTTTGGTGCAACAAGGACATTTAAAACATTCTTCGGGACCTTTCCACGAGTGCCGCTCTTGTTCATAGCTAGGAATTCGGTTGCACTGCAATCGGTGAGAAGGTAGATGACTTCACCAACCTTGAAATAGAAATCGAACAGTAGGCGCATTGCCCATAGCAAGTTATTCGTTGGATAGTTTTACATGACCCAACTTTAACCTTTACCGGGGTGATCGAGAACGCCTCAATAGTATTGTTAAATCAGCCAAATAAGGTAAATGCATTAGCTTACACTGACTGAGAGCTCGCTGTTGTGCGATGCGGAGAAATTTGCAATAACCTCAGCCCTTGGTCTGCGACCCAGAGCTTCAGTCAACTCAAGTCTTGATGTTAAGAGACGAACGAACCCACTGGGCACGACGACAGGACTCCCTGCCCAGGTTTCGCATTCCAGGAATTCATCCGGGGGTAGAGGTCCGGAGTTCGGTTTAAGGTACTTGGGATCATAATCAATCCACCGCAAAACATCCCCTTTCTGTCAGCAGAGCAGAAATGAAGTCTTTGTAGCACACACAGATACATTTGTGAGATTTCAGTTTTTGATAAACACAGCAGGTTGAGATAAAGCGTAAACACAAAATTAAACAACGTGGAAACGAAACTTGACTTACCTTGAATTCAAGTGAGTCAGTATTCGCGTCCTCTGGAATATTATCTACAGCTAACCACAGAGTTTTTCTACGCGACACCTTCGTCTGGAATAAAGATTATTACATTTAAAATGAAGGGTCTTTATTTTATCGTCATCTAGTGCACTTTTAAGAGTAGGTAAGTCTTTAAGTGGAACCATGCTCCGCATCACAACCACGCTGATCGAAAGTAATTTAGAGAATATAAACCCTGAGCTACATTATCTGACTGTCGACATTTTACTAAGTTGATAGTGGCAATAATAATAATAATATTGATAATATTAATAACAGAGCCTATGAGAACGTAGACGAAACACGAATTAAGTAGCTGTGTCATTAGCAAACACCAGAATTAAAAGGGTGCCACAAATTACTTGCACATAACCCTTAAATCCGGTTTTGGCAGCAAACGCTGGTGTTTTTCATATTCGGAAAACTGATTGAGCCACGAAGTATTTAAAGGATTAGCGAATACACTTCTGCGGTAGGACCAGAAACAGATGAGTATCACAAGTCCCAACTACTTCCAAGCTTCAATCATGAACTCGCAAAACCCAATACTAACAAAAAAACAGGTAGAATACAGATTATAATAAGGCTAAATAGAGACACACTGACTTGATGTTCATTTAATAACCAAGAAATGAGTTGAAAAAATGCTCGAATGATAATGAGCCATTTCAGCTACCTCAGGTGATGGCTGAGGTGGCGCAGATACCTTCGTGTCTTCATTCGCCCTGTAAGTAAAGGATAAGAGTTCTCAGAGAGGCCGATATCGCATTTTACAGATTGAATAGATTGAGGCTATATAAAAGTGGGGCAGTTAGTACATAATGCATAAACTCGAAAACCCTAAGCAAGCCGACTCAGTTACACTGCCGAGTTATCCTTGGCATGTGCTGGAAAGACTTACTTGGCGAACACGTGATCTACGGGTTTCCGTTTGGTTCTACTTATGCTTGCAATTATACGATATAGATGCCAGGTTTTTGCTTGTGGCATCAATACTGGGGCTATGCATACTGAAGTCACACAACTGCGAAGAGCACAAACGTTGAAGTCAATTAAACACCGAAATATGGCAACTCCTTAAGTGATTTGAAGTGCTACGATTCACTCATCATGAATCCACGGTTCCAGGGCGTTAACGCAATACATCCAGAAAGCAAGGCTGCCAAAAAGTGTCAGCTGATTGCAAGACAAACCTTCAGAATCCATCGTAGTACAATCTCAAACTAATATCGAAGTCCAGAATAATCTATGTGACAGCAGAAATGTTGTAAAAAAAATTCAAAAAGGTTGCTTGTTAGTGGTCATAGCAAGCCAAGCAAGGACAATTAAAATTATTAACTATTACATGGGAAAGTCCCTTATCAGCATAGATCAAAACAACCATTTCAAATAGGGTCTCAATGAATCAGGGAGCTTGGGTTGTGAAAAAATGTGAAAACGTACTCTTTAGAATCTGGTTCAACCTGAAATACCAACATATCATGGTCCAAATAAAAGGAAATGTTAGTATTTAATGCTGCTACGCATCAGAATGTTATTAAATCTAAGGTAATCAATATAAACTACTCATTTATTTCTTAAGGTGAGACAAATTTCCACACACTCCTACAGGCAAGTAAATCCGAGGAACACGCTTGGGTTCAAAGGGAATTTGATTAACCAATAAGACTGAGCGGTTTTAGAAATGCGAATTAGGACAGCACACAAGAGGACACTTCAAAATGTCCAGACCGAGAAGGATATCAAAAAGCAGACCCCACTAATTAATGGCATACAAATTAGCAAAAATAACCAATCTATTTACCACTGATGCCTCTCGGAGTTTAAGCTGTTAACAACCATTATAAGTCATGTTTTCAGAAAGGGGAAGAAAGTGAATCAGTATTGAATTATTAGACTATTTCACTGGAAGAGGTATACTTGCAAATCATGGGTTATCTGATAATCGCAAAAAAGAACTTTGATAAGTCGATAAATTAGGTGATTTCCAGATATGAAAATTAACAAACCTCATTCGTAGAAAGTTTGACAGGGAGTTGCCGTGGCTCGTCTTGCCTGCATGATACAAACACAATGGCGTCTTAACTACCACACATCGTTAGCATGAATAAAAATGAAAGCATTATTAGTAAGCCGGCGTGGATGCTCAGCACAAAATGTTTTTCTTACGAAGGGCTCTGAGGAGGAGAACCACACTAGAAGGAGCAATCACTTTCATATCAATATTTATACAAGAGGAGACACATAGCACCTAAGTACAATAATACAGCCAGGTCATAATTAGCAACTTTATTTGTGTAGGCTCCGCCTTTAACCTTTTGGGTTTAGAATAAAAAATCTCACCGATTGACAAGCAGGCGTTTTTACAACAAATCATTAATAGTAAAGAGTACGTCACTAATAATTCACTAGAAAGCTTTTTCTTAGTAACATGCATGCAGATGCTAGTAGCCAATAGAGTTTAGAACCTTTTGATCCTTCATCATATTCTAAACAACTTATTTTACAGCAAGGCTAACTCATCTCTCTTTCTAAAATCGCTTAAACACTAAAAAAACTTTTAAAGGAATGCTCACAAAACAGCTTGATGGTGTGAGTTCATGCTGATTTTAGGAATCCCACAAAACAGTCTAGGGACAAAGCACTTACAGTATTCGTAGATAGCTTCTGCTGCAATTCATTCAAAAGAGTGTCCTGCAGTAAGCATCTCCTTATTCCTCCCAAAGTTGCAGTCTTTCCGATTAAGGGCGGTGGATCGGCGAAAATCTCATCACTTTTTGAAGTGCACAAAGATGCCGATTGAGGCGACGACGATGACGATAACGACGAGGTAGAACCAAACCCAGAACCCGTCGGCTCAGGTTCTACCGGGTGATTGGCCTGAAGTTCGATTAAGTTTGTATGCACAAGCCCCCTTTTTTTAGTTGTCACAGTTTCGGCGAAGTACGAATTCTCGTCAATTTTGTGCACGAGGTATAGGAGGTCCCCCGGCTGTAATAACAAAGGATCATAGTAACAAATCACACAAGCAAGCAAGCGAGCCTGTGTGCACCTTTAATACACCTCAGTATTAGCACATTTGTCATTCTCCCGTCAGGAGACATTTTTACTGCTCATTTCTTTGCTGATTCAGTACAAAAAACATTTACATATCACATTCGCACTAGAAGGTTTTATGAAACTACCAAAACTACCGTGTAATCCAAACTATGGCTTTAATAAGCAGAAGCTTATCAAGTGCGAGAATGTAACGCAAGAATATAACGCGTCCGCCATGGTAGGCACATTTTAAGTTGACAAAAACGTCAAAGAAAACTAAACCAGTTCTCATTTACCTAAGTTTTAGAGCACTCTCGTGGTAACAAAATAGAAAGCATGAAAAATTCGGAATTTTGTGCTGTCAAAATGAGCCATAGCCGTCACATGCAACGTACAGCAAGATCAAGTTCTTCTTGACATTTAGCATTGTAGGCCGTTTTTGCAATCGCGGTTGGGTGTTGACGGCTAAAAGAAAACAAAAAGAGGTCATGGAAAAGGTGATTTTAGCAGTTTGAGTAAAGTGAAGGCTTTAAGCAGCGGTGCTGTGTTTTGAAGTGGGTTAATCAACTTGCGTCGACGACATGCTCACTTGGGTTAACGTCATTACAGGAGTAGCAGATGGGGTACAATAAAGTGATTTTAAAGGTTTACGAATTAAGCATACGTCCTTTAATATAGTGAGCGAAAGCAATTCGTTCCGATGGAAGCACAAAACGATACAATGAGAAACATGAAAGTGGGTGAAGTGAATTAGCCTCCAGACATAAATGCTATCGATAAGTAAAAGATCTAGATAAAGAGCGAGGTGGAGGACCCGAAGATGTCAGTTTGAAAGATGTAGAGTACAAAAAGCATAAATTAGAGATCCAGGAGTTACCCTGCATTCACATCCTCAACAAAGGATTCCTGCTAAAAACAAATTTAAACTTCATATCCGAATGGTTGCAAAATGAATATCCACTACATCCAGATGAGTAAACTCTTCTAAATTAATGCGACTTGGGCAATAGTGTACCATTTTATTTTGACGTTATCTTAATAAGATCATCCTAGTAGGTTTACGGCAAGTATGAATACAGTCTGGATCCATTAACGTGTGACAAAGAAATGTTGACTTCAAAATGAAAGTCGCTACAATAACGAGGTAACAAGTGTAGCACTTCTGGCAATCTTGAGATCATTGACAGTTTGTTTTGCGATTACTAACACCAAACCACACGGTCTCGCACGAACCAAGCACTGAGTGATGTAATCACATCTGGGCAACAATTCCTCGTCTTTAAACGGTAACACATACTAGGCGATCCAAAAAAAACTCCATTTTCCCTGCTGACTGGAATTTTAACAGATCCGTTAAATTTGAAAGAATTAACACCATAGGGGTGTCGCAAGTTTTTGAAATGCCTCAACCTAAGTGCGTAACAAAATTAAGTGCTGAAACGACAAGAAAACACAGCACGCACAAAATGATTGGCTTGTATTTATACTGCGAGAAAAACTTTATCGGGCACTTCATTGGTAAATGCGATGCGCACAGACAGGACGTAATAGCTGCACAAAAGATAGAGGACATTGCGGTGAGCTTGGGTAACCAGAATTTGCAACCTGGTGTAATAATTTCGGCTATGACAAACACAGGTGTAGGTGAGAAATATTTGCTCTAGCTGGGTGCACAAAAGAAGACGTCGTAAAATCCTAGTATTTCAGAGAAAAACGGAGGGTACTTAAGAAGTTAATAGAAATAAAGCTACCACAAATTGATCTACGAAATTCTTCCTAGGCACAGACTATGGAGATTTATTGCAGTTCCATATGCTTTTCAATTGACATACACGTGGTGCAAACGCGTGAGTACGCTGTTGGCTAGCATTCTCAGGAAACAATCCCGATGATTCATATTCATTGATGTTCATTTGCCTAAAAAAATTAATTCTGATTGATGTAAGTTTTATTCCAGATTTTAATGGCGCCAATTTTAAAATGACATTGGACCTTCGAATTAAGATTTCTACAGTGCCATACGACCGACGAAATCCCAAGTTAAATTACTAGTTTCTAACGGTAGTGTTTTTAAAGTCCTGTTAAACTTTCAGGCTGCAGATATTCAACCCAAAATGGTATCCCTGTGGTCACCTAAAGTATTACGTGTGCATGGCCTGTTGACAGCTAGAGAGGCAAAAGTTTCAGGACGTAGAAGAGGCTACAATCGCCGAAAGTCAATGGCTCAATAACTGGCTAGACGCCCAACAAAACGGAAAATGTGGTGTCTACACATACCAGGGGATTTTCGGGAACACACAGACTAAGGAGAGGAGCACTCAAAACTGTAAAAAAATTAAACAACTGAACTTTCGGCATTTAAAAAACATACTGATTAGGTGATTTAGGAGTTTCAACAGGTTTCCTCTAAAAATGAGACAATAACTGAGTTATGCGACAGAGTCTCTTAAAACTAAGTAAGCAAGTCATTTTGAAATGCAGTTTCAAGTGGTATTGCTTTAGAAAGTCACTGCAGGTGAAAAAGAGATCTGCATAGCAATTTTAACGCTATCTAATATTAGCACGGCATTATTCCAAACCTCAGTCACTTTTAAGTAGAGGAGAAATAGATCGAACAAAACGCAATTTTCAATGGATGGTGTGTAAACTATCAATAAATTCGTAGAAGTTTTTCTTATTGTCATTCATTAATTATTGTTCAAATCCCCTAAAAATTATCTTGGTTTCTACTAGGATGTCACTAGAATGGAGGAAAAAATAACATTTCTCATGCAGTTGTGGTCATGTTTTAAACCTCACAACATATCCCTAGTAAAAGATCTTTTGTAGGTGAAAATACCTAAATGAATGCAACTAAAGTGGTACGGATATGTACACGCAATAAAATTTTAATTGCTTGGGTGGTCATAAATTTCCTTCAGCCTCAAAATTCAAGTTATTTGCAATTCCCCACTCCAAGTGCTGGATTCAGCTACATTAGAATGGGGAATAAATCAACTTGCCGTCCATGTGCATTGATGGTTCGAGACAACGCCCCTTACCATAAACAGAGAAATGTAAATACTGAACAATACATCACTGTGTTCAGAAAAGTAAAACATTGCTTAGGTCTGAAGCCAGGTGCATGCTAACCCCTTTAAACAACCTCATCCTAACGCAAGTGACTTCTTCAACATTTACAAGAAAATTACTTCTATTTCAAATCATTCGTTTTTTGACGATGAAATACATTGTTCTCCTCTTCACTCGTTTTAAGAAAATCCAATTTTCTCATTCGGTTGTCAATAAACCATCCGGTCATTCAAAATGTGACTTCCTTAATTCCCACCAGAGACATTTCCGATTATCGACGGTTTGTATTATTCAACATGGACTCTTTGAAGCTAATCCATCAAACATAGAGAACGACAATCGCATTGTCCTTCTCCATGAAGAGCCCTGTAAATTTAGCCCATTACAATCCCGAGTTTTTTATCCACTTAAGGGCTGAATTACTGTGTTTGGTTATTCAAATTTCGTAATTTATTCAAATTTTGGAATAAACTGTGATTTTATTACAAACATTTCAATATTTATTGAGACGTTTAATATCTCACACAGGTCAAATTAAGAGGAACGGGACACGCAAAGACGGTTTACTACTTTCAACCTAAGCTACTTTGATTAGTGAGATTGTACATTAAACTCGTAGGCGCATTGCATTGAACACTATCGCATCAAATTCACAATGATATTATTTCAAAAGCAAATGCTAAAATAGATGTAGATTAAACACACACGTTAAGCATCTACTCAATGCAAAATAACTCAAGGCCTATGCGATATGTCCTTGCAAAATTGTACTCACAAGCTTTCGGTGAATATACTTTTGCCTAAGACTAGTAAGATGAGAAAATACATTTCTGATATTTACGGATGCGTAACATAAACAGCTTACAGGTATCTTAGGTCTTCTGCCAACTTCTTGTTGTTCTAATGGACATAAAAGTTTGTGAGTGAATTTGGAGGATAAGTTATAATTCTCGTGCCATACAAAACACACCTTGATTGTTTTTTTCTGCACTTTTCTTGCTAAAATAAAAAAAAACATAATGCTAAGTATGATATTCCAGTGATCACAAAACAGTCGCAGCGTGCTTACAACGACAATCTTAACGAATTAATTTTAATGCATATATTAACATACTACAACACACGCACCTGTGCCTCTTCTACAAATGAATAAAGACATTACGGTTTCACTAAAATGCTGATACTTAAAAATGATGTGTCACACCAAAAAGTAAAAAAGACGCTTACAAATAGGTGTTTTTGCTTCTTCTCCTACAATAGCAAATAGTACTATGAAACCTATCCGGAATGGGAACCTACTCTTATTTCGCAGTATTACAAAAGGAAATTGAAAGTAGTTGGGAACCAGGAAGTAAACTCTGAGGTTATAAGGATAATCAGGACAAATAATGTGCTCTTACATTAAGCCTATGTTTACATCAGAATCGATTAAACTATTCTTAGGACCTTAAAAAAGTCAACAATGCAGGTACCATTTAATACATACTTAATGCAAATTGCGCAAATAACGCCCAATGAACGACAAACTATGCTCTAAAATCTATTAAATGAACGCAGGATCATATATTGGTAACTGTAGATTACGGGAGGCATAACTAAAACATGATGCCAGTTGAATAAACCTTGAAAAAGGTAAATTTATCGCACGTTCCACTTTCTGTAGTTGAATAAGTTTCTCAGATCTAAACGTTCATTGCATATAAGGACGCCCGAATTCAATCAGAAATTAGAACGTAACATAAACTGGTTTCAAATTTCAGCAGAGCAGATTTGAAAGTGTTGTCAAGCATTTGAAGAGATTTTCTGTGCCATCTCAAGAAACTGTGCGGAAGACCTATTATCTTTTTTGAAAGAATTGTAAGCGGCGACGACCATCTAGAGATACCTCAGAACTAGTTACCTGATTAAATCGAGTACAATGAACATGAGTAAACAACTTGCTAAAAGATGTGGCTCCACTGCATTGCGGGTTGATTTTTTCGGCACGTCTCAACACGAAAACACAACAAACACGGATTTGACGTGTTATGCGCTACCACGACCACCCGCGAAAAGGCTAGTTTGTGTCCTACCAATTTCCACATGTGTACAACGACTAAACAACATAATCACATAGGCTTTAGAGACTGCCACGCATTACTTCGATTTCTATATATTTGAAAGAAGGCAAAACTACAAGTTCAAATAATCTAACTTGGATAATTGCAGACGAATATTTTTAATATGTACAACTACGCCCAATAACATTGAGTCAGCCTTATCAAATATTTATCGATCACAAATGTCCTACAGGCTATCTAAATTCTTAAGGTACATCAAAATATGATGCTGACAACTCACATCCATTACAAAAATCCGGTGAGGAATAAGAAATTACAAGACCTTGACGGATAATAGATGTTTGAAAGCGTAAAACAAATCCATAAAAATATAACTACAATAAAAATGTTTAAAATTGATAGCAAATGCTAATGTGGAACAACAATAACTAACACGTCTATGGTGTTACAAAATATATAATTTGGTTAAAATAAACCAGTGATAATCAGCCCACCAACTAAACTGCCAACCTCAGTTTTGGAAACAGACTTCAGTCAGGGGCGGTCGCTGATCATCTGCTACAATGTCCCTCAATTACAATTTATATATTTGTGTTAATAATGTTTTTTAATAAGTTGTGCACAAATTAATTTAAAAAAAACGTTGGTCTTTACCGAACTTGACACATTTTTTTATCCCTCAGAATTGAAATGGCAATATAAGAGATAGTAAATGTGAATATAATCTAATCTTATAACATAGGATCTATTATGTTTCCTTTGCACATTTGAAAATGTTATTTAAGACATTAATTATCATGTCTTAGTCATCAATTAAAGTCAAAAAAAGGAGCACAATTGCCACACAAGTGTGATTTGTGAGGTTGCACATTGAACTGACAGGTGTTTGCAATGAATGATGACGTCATACATAAAAGGAGCGTCAAGGAGCAGTATCCATTCGTTGAGGTTTTACAATAAGATATGGGAACAGGGCGTGAGTGCTTGAAGGTAAGGTTTGAAATTCGATAGATTTTAGTCTGGGCTCACGTAATTACATCATGAGGAACTTTTAAGGGTTATTGGTATTCGGTTTGTAACCCATTCAACTTATGTAAAGTTTATTCCTTGAAAGAAAATGCCTTCCAACGTGCAAATCAGTGCATTTGTGGATTGCAGATGCCACATTAGCCACGGAATCAGTGAGTTAACTTGCAAAGCGAGTTTAAAAATGATGTATCCACACGGGCATACGTAAAATTTAACCTAAAATCATTTATTTTTCATAATTAAGATGAAAGCTAGTGAACTTTCTTTAAGCACAACACACAATGACAACAATGGACTTACTTATTATAATACCTTCATTCACATAATGATATTCATAGAAATAATTGTGGACTTTGAGTGGATTACCTCGTTCAATTCAAAAGCAAAAATACATTATGTTATCCTTAAATTTTCTTCATAAATCCCTGATAATCATCTCTAACTTGACTGTTAAACCTAAACTACTTTCAAAATAACCGACTTGCATTCAGCAGCTAAACTAAGATTTTTTTAGGCCTTAGCAATGGCAGGATAGCCAATTGTGATATCAGACAATTCCTGTATTTTATTTTAAAATCACGCAGTTAGTGATCTTGGAGGCAACATTTTTTTTGCAAAGTGCTTGAAAGTAAATTCCGATTACTTGGTTACTTATAACAAATTCCCATAAATAACTACTGAAATTTACTGGTTGGTTATATATTAACAGCAAGTCATAGTTCAGCCATAAAAAAATGCAAATTTCGGTTCACGCTATTCATAAATGACTTCGGTATAGTCGCCTAATCAACCGTTGATTCTCCATCAATGTAGGTCCATAGATTAATCAGGTCGCAATGCTGTTTTGCAAGTGGCCTGTATTCAAACTGTAGATCACTTCATGAATCACTTTTTGATAATAATTTAATATCCAGGCAACTGTGAAGAAATAAATAACCTAGCACACTGTGTGACAATAAATATTATATAATTTTGACGCTGTCTTGTAAAAAATGAATCAATATTACTCTTCGCCTTAAGTGAAGCAAGGATACCCTTACTGGTTGGCACAATCTATGACTTGCATACGATTACCTGACATCGTACTGTTTAAAACTCTCGGGTGTGCTTCGACGGCTGCGAATCTTTGTTAATACCTCAATTACCGACGACTGTAAACCGCTAGTTGGAACTCTGTTAAAGAGTCATTCTCCCCATAATAATTTCTTAATTCATTTCAAGTATAAGATTTAAGGAATAATTGAAGCATGTTAAAGGGACAGCGCATGGTAGAGCAAGTTTAATCATCAAATCCCCTAGCTAAATTTTGGGACACATTAATTTTGTCCATTGTGCCCCATCATTATTTCGTCAGGGTTAAAAAATTGTACATGTTTGCAGGTTGAATTAACTTCAGTTAAAAGATTAGTTGCAAAATTTCAACGCTAATCGGAACCATAACCTTGCCACCGCGAAACATTTCAGCATGATTTATTAATTGATGATGGCATTAATCAATCACCATTGCCAAGTAAAATCCAATTTTGATGATATTGGTGATGAGCAGTCCATCAGTTGCTGCAAAACACAGACAAACTCCATTTCATGCCACTCCGTTCAAGACTTATTCTAAGACATGAAACCGCTTACACCAAACCCATAACTGCTGCTCTCACCCTGCCAGGTTATCTCTAGACTTGCCTAACAACGAATCTCACACGCTAGACGCTACCGCCAAACACCAAAACGGCTGATTTGCAGTGTTTTGTCTACACGGTGATTTAAGTCTACACTTGACGCACAATTTCCGATCTTTGACGCTGAAATGGACACGAGTTGCATGGAATGTAGAATGACGTCGGTGCTTCGTCTTGATAAGCGTATGAGTGAAAAGTGCACAATTTTCACGACAACTGTTGACTGCCTCCAGTAAATATTGACGCCACAACATCACTTAGTGTTGTAACTCGCTAATAAAATTTTATATTTACAACGCTTAACGTGTGTGTTGAAAGCTGAACACTGTTTTCTACGCTTAACAAGTTCTGTCGCGCAATGGTTTCGATTTACACGATTCTCACGCTGGGAAATTCTAAAAAAATGTCTAATGCAAATCTTCGTATTTAATCCACCGCCGCCATACGTAACCCCTTTTATTATTCCCTTATTTCGCCCAAATATATCCATCGTCAATAAGGATAATTGTTTACAATATATATTAAAATAAGCATCAATTTTTTAGGTTGTATTAAAGTATTTTTGTATGTCGAAATGTGAGTTCAAGCGGTCATGAATATAAGTCAGTTTATTGGCTGTGTGTTTTGACTGTGTGGGTTTTGTTGAGTATGGACGATCTTGTTCGCAAATTTCAAGGCCTTTCCCAGGAATGGAATCGAAAAAACCATGATTTAGATGCTTGCCAGCAAAAGCTAGAAAAGTTAACGGTAACCTTTTTGAATGTTTGGATTTTTTTAGCTCGAGCTTACCCAATTTTCATATATGCCGAATAAAGAAAGTTCTGCTTCGAAGAGGGAACTGCTGATTGCACGTAACGTCATTAGTTATAATATATTTTTTAAGGTGATACTTTAGAAATTGGCGCTATTCTATCATTAGAAAAGCGGGATATGCCTGCTTTCGAAAGGTATATGTCTCAATTAAAGTGTTATTATTGTGATTATAAGTACGTTACTTTTCCGTGGTTATTTAATGCTTCATAGGGTCAATTTACCGGAATCGCCCTACAAATATGAGTTGTTTGGTTTAAATCTGTTGCGTTTACTTGCTCAGGGACGACTAGCAGAATTTCACACGGTGCCCGCCGTTTAATAGCTTTAATGGTTTTTCTAGGAGGTTGAACGTTTGACTAAGGATGAAGTCAGCCTTAATGCTTATATTAAACATCCACTTTCAATGGAACAGTATTTAATGGAGGGTAGTTTTCACAAAGTATTTCTTTCGAAAGGAAATGTGCCCTCAGAGCGATACAACTATTTCATCGATATTCTTCTTGATACTACAAGGTACGTGATAATTTAATTGTTCCTCTATTGATGCCGTTATCTAGAGATGAAGTTGCTTCTTGCATCGAAGCTGCCTATAATGAACTGTCCGTAGAGGAGGCGACTAAAACTCTTTTTTTCGATAAGCCTGAACAGTTGAAAATCTTTGCAAAGCAGGTATACTAAAGTGTTGATAGTTACGGTCCATATCTAGCGTGACTGGACACAGAATGGCAAAAAATATATATTTGCAAAACCTGACAAGCAGACGGAAAGTG